ATATTGCAATGTCTTAAACGCTCAATTCACTGAATGCCAACTCCGAAATTTCAAGTAAATATATGAAGACAAAGATGCTGTGGCCTCTGTTATGGTCGCAGTCTCCCTTCGATTTATATAAGGGGGTTGAGCTCGTTGCCGCAACTTGGTCTTCTTTTCAGGGCGACTATGTAAAACGCACCTAGTCCGAAGTTGTCATGATTCCCAGCATCTGACAGTGGACTTGATACATTCTCAAACGTTTCGCCGGCATCATTCTCCGCACCAAACTACGAACCCGTCAGAGACAAGTGGAGTCGATTCCTCGACAACCGTTCTGCCGAAAACGGTTATACTATCACTCCTCTTTTTGTCATTGCCTATCTATCTATTCTTTCGACTCTTATCACAATGCCACTCTATCACAACTTCTCACTTGTTTACATTCCACTCGTCAAAATGTGTGCCCTTTTGTGGTAAACCCAGTGTGGCTTGTCTCTTTGACGAGTTCGTAGCCTGGTGAGGAGAATGGCATAGCTCCCTGATGATGCCGACGAAACGTTTGAGAATGTATCAAGTACATTGTCAGATGCTGGGAATCATGACATCTACTATTACAGACGGCTTCGGACTAGGTGCGCTCTACATAGTCGTCTTGACAACAAGACCAAGTTGTGACAACGAAATCAACCCACTTCTGTAATAACTGGGTTTCAAAAAATTCCTTAACAGAATTTTGGGAATACCTTTCATTTCCTTTGAAAAGACAAGTGTAAGGGATTCGTAAGTTAGTTGTACCGGGGTCTGTCGTAGATTTGTGCGAATGGGTATCCGGCGCACCGCCCTGAGACTTCGATGGATCCTTGCTGAGATTACAGCTGTCATGTGACAACCGTTGTGGCATCACTCCTCGCCTCTATTTTTGTTCTACCTTCTAGTGCCGCATCTTTCTCTCAGCCGAACTTCATATGGCCCATCCACTTATTCACACAATTCTGTGCTCTCGTTTCCCCTAATATCGCCTGTGTCGATACATGTAAGTATAGTGGAGCATAATCATCTCCACCACCGGTAACAGATGTCGTTTACAGAGCTCATATCCTACATCTTGCCGCACCATATTTTTCCTACCCGCCTGCCAATTGATCGCTGCTAAACATCAAATTCATCGTTTGACTATCTGAAATCTGGCTGTCTGAGGGTCTTTAATTCCCGTCCTCGAATACGCCATATTCGAAGAGTTAGAGCAGATGATGCACATGTCATGCCCATGCATATGTCAGTGCCTAAGAATCTTCGTCTCCTCAGGCTTCAAACCCGTGACTCAATTATCCTCTCATCTCCATCCATATTCTATTAAATAGGTATGAAAATTGATAAAAAAACAAATGCATGAGTATTAAAATGCAAGTAAGTACAAAATGGTATATTAGATTGATCAGAGTTTTCGCAGAGGATCGAAATTTGGCTTTTTTTATTGAATAACTTTGCAACATAAATCAGGAAGCCAATATTTCATCAACTGGAGGCTAAAATTGTCGAGGCACTGGGGAAGGTTTGCCCCCGTATCAAAAATTACATTTTGGACCTGAATCATACATGTCCCAAACTATTTAGAAAATGATCACAAACACATGAATGGATCGGGTAATGCGTAGGGAATTTTAGTATAGGCGGACACGTTTTAGAGTCCGATGATTATTAATTATTGAACAACACAGAGTCGTGAAGATAAAAAAGCAGCTGCGAAAAGTCCGTCTTCGGTTGAGAAAGAACAGGGCCCAAAACAAGGCTGTAAGAATGATTTGGAATAAATAGACTTTAAGTGCAAATAAACGATTTGGTAAAGGGAGATTTTGGAAGACGACAGAGTGGTCGGAAAATACAGTAAGGAGGCTGAATCCGATCACATCTGGCGCACCAGATCGATAAGAACAAGAGGGAATCCCCAAAGCGACTAGACTGCCTCGAGGTATCGCGGTTGAGGCTACAAGAAGAACTGGATTGTCTACGAAATCAGTAGTGGCTAGCCATCTGGCCGGCTGGGAGCGAGATGCTGATGAATAACGCGACCAAAGTCTGGCTAGATTACCGCTATCTGGGCTCCAAATTTCAGGCGGATAAAATCGATTAGAGAGGTTGAGTACCAGTGGCTTGTCCCAGAGTCGAATATGCGAAGGCGATATTATCCATGAGGTCTCGGTGAGTGATCTAGAACTTTCAGATTCTGTTTTTTCAGGAAAATATAGATTCGACAACGCTTCCCCTAAATCAGTTACTGTCTTGGAGTGGGGATGTTGATAACGGCTTGGTTTGAATGATCTAGATCTATATGAGGTCCTTCTTTGAATTCTGAAAGGGACGTGAGATTTCCAGCTTACCGCATAAAACTATAAAAATAAGTAGAAAACAATAAAAGATAATGGCTGAATTACAAGGTAGGATGGATAATGTGCTGACAAAATAAAAATAATTAGCTGTGCAAATGTAGGTGAAACAGTAATCGATGCTGTTAGATTCAGGCCTTAAGGAGAATCTATTTTGAAAATAACTAAATTTAAATAAAAAATTAATAATAAAAAGAAAGAGTAAGGGCTCTTAATCCGATGCAGGCTACATTTATGAAGTAAAACGAGCCTTATGTATATATATTTATAGAAAAGAAAACATATTCTTCCAAGGTAGCTTTGAATTAACAGGAAGATACATCCCACT